AAGTAAACCTGCCATCTAGTTAATTTATTATAACACCGTACCAATCACTGAATGAGACTATTAATAAACACGTGCAGGTAATCTGTGACTCAGTTTATTCCGTTGACCAATCAGACTACATCCGCGATTTAGATTCCCATTAACTTATTAAAATAGGGGGAGGATGGATCAATACTAGTAGATACTGTATCCTTTAAGCGAAACCACATCTAACTGATTTTTATTAATACTTAAACACGTAACTACGATTATAATTGACTACCAATCAAACCGTGACCTTGATCATATCGACCGTCCAATTGGTTAATGGAGAGATCGGTTAACCTTCTGATAGTGTACAAGCACCAACGCCTAAAAATACCCAGGGTTTATTTTCTATAATATATATGAAAAAAATCTCAATTTTCTCACATTGGTGGATAGGATGAAATGCGAATGCTCCGAGCATAAAATACGTCCTGCAAACAATAGATACTGGCAATAAATGCACCCTTGGTGAAAAATAATGACCCATCTAGCTCAGTCAGTCATCTGAGTTTGACTACGTTCTGAGTAGCAAACAGATATCATTTTTGTTAATGATGATTGATCACAAGTAAGAATACGCATCATTTGGAAGTGGATTTCCTAATTTAGCACACTAGGAGTAAATTTCTTGGAAATCCATCCATCAAATACTAATTATATGATAAAAATAAGGAAGAACGCGTTGCATAGTTTCACAATTTTGAAAAACACCATGGCTACTTTTATTCGATTTGAGGACTTAATCATACATTACGAAATGAAAAATGATAATATTCCAGTGTTTTGTCTTTTGGAAAGTGTGGTCGTGCTGAGGATACATATTCGCTCAGTATTTCGAGGTGCGAGTAGTGAAATTAGAAAATAAGTATTTAGACAATGCCAACACAAATTAAATCCTAAAATAATAACAAATGAATTGCCACTCTTGTTTATTTGATTTTATTCTCCCACCTCCGGGGTGTGCGATAGACTTATCTCCACGTGGTGCACCCTGGGCAACGTATACTCATACGACAAAAAAATCTATTAACCGGCAGTTGACTTCTGACTTCAAATTATCATCACCCCACTGTATGTCATATTCGACCACTTACACAGCACTCATCTTACCTTTTTCTTTGCCTTTGTGTCTGTCTGCCTCTTTTACATCTGTGAATCCCTCTTCTGCTCCCCTTCCTCGACTTTCTACTACTTCGATTAACCTTCCCTCAGTGAAGCCCGAAGTCAACTAAAGGGCTAATGATAGCTATCAAAACGCCTGCCATTTGAAATAAATAAATAAGTTCTCCCACCTCCTGCTTTGAGGCCATATACAAACGTATTATTATATGCCCTACCCGGTGCCCTACAAACTAAGCAATAATAATTGAAATTAATGGAATAAAATCAATAAATGTGAATATGGCTGTGAAGTTATGAATGCTACTATCACTCAACCCTTCCAACCCACCCGATTTCAAGTGATTTGTTAAAATAAAATGGTTAAAGCAAAGTTGGTCATGGCATTATCGTAAGTTCAAAGATTGTAGCGGATTGCTACGCTAGTAAAGCCTGACTGACTCAGAAATCTCTATGGCAGATTCTCCAACATCTAGCTAGACTCCCAGAACCAGCTGACCTATAGCCCAGTTTTGAAAGGAAACAGACGTGTAGCACGGAGCACGTTTATTCAGTACGGGTATTGCGGATAAAGCGTACGTACTCATGATCAGGATGGGGGGTTAGGTTAAACAAACAGGGGTTAATGATTGGTCACTATTTGTACGGTCGCTGCAAACAGAGTTGTACGGCCGCACCTCCCAATCCTGGCATGCAGGCATGCGAAGACACACAAAGCGATAGCGTGTCCCACAAGATCTTGAAAATGCAAGACAAGCAGTCAACATTTTGAAGTGATCACATTTCAGATTGGTCCACCTGTGTGTAGAACTTACAGTTGCACATCTTCCAAGTTAGCATTTAACATGAGCACCAATCTCCCAGATATGCCCTTCTGATTCCCGGGGGCATGAGATGACATTAACGTGAGTCTTAGATATAAAAATTTCCCCAACAGTTGCATTGTTAGTCCAGTTTTTCAGCTGCGAATTTTAAGCATTGTTGCCTTTGATTCCCTTCAAATGAAAACTTTGACTCTGGCTGAAAATTTCGCTTTTACTGACTTTAATCCCAACGAGGTATCACAACGCGTAGGTCGCATACAAAAATTTCAAAAGACCACCATAATTAATCTTATTACCAGTTAATTAGTACAATTTTAAAGTTTTTCCTTCGCGCCCGCCATTTTTCCACGAAAGCTGACTTGAAAATTTATTATGAGTCTAAAATGCTATCTTAAAAGCATTGACAAATATCAACCCTTTAATACTCTTAGTTCTGTACGGTCCTTGTTCAAAGTAAGCTCCATAGGTACTAGACTCGTAGCAGCTGGTGATTTGCCGTTTGAAGCATAGTTAATACGTCTCTATAGCCTTCGCCTGACACCATCTAAACTCACTACGTCGGCAACAGGCTGGTGGAAGGCCCACATGAGTGCTGTTGGATGCATAATTCAAAGATAAACCGAGAGTTAAATGGTTAAAGACCATGTTGAGTAAACTTCCGTTAAGTTCATGGGTCAAGTGATTAACAGTAGAACCGCATCAACTTGTCAATACGCTCAGAATGGGATGGGCAGGCCCTAAATCCAGGACCAGGAGTGTCACAGTAAATAAAAATTGTTGTTTCCAGGCTTTTATCTCGACACCTAATCAATTTATACCATTTTTAAGGTTTCTCCGTGTTAGGTCATTTACCATAATTAACTAAGCTAAATTTTGCCTCATCATTTATTTATTTATCAAATGGCAGAAGTTTTGATAGTTATCAATACCCCATTAGTTGACTTCAGGCTTCACAGAGGGGAAGGAATATAAAAGTGAAAAAGAGTCGAGAGAGGAGGGGGAGGGAACAGAAGAGTGTTTCAAAGATGTAAAAGAGACAGACACAGAGGTAGAAAAAAGGTGAGGTGAGTACTGTGGAAGTAGTCGAATATGCATACGGTAGGGTCACGGTAGTTTGAAGTCAGAAGTCAACTGCTAGTTAATAGACTTTTTTGCCGTATGATTACCACGTGCATCACGTGGTGGTAAGTCTATCTCACACCCTATTTTGCTTCATCATAATCAATAATTGCGCCAATTGTGCATTAGCCACTATGTACATCGAATATGTCAGAGGTTATGGGTTCGATTTTCATCGGCACTTACCGAG